AATGTGTGTGTGTGTAATGTGTGTGTGAGTGTGTGGGTGTGTGTGTGAGTGTGTGTGGGGGGTGTGTGTGTGTAATGTGTGTGTGTGTAATGTGTGCGTGTGTGAGTGTGAGTGTGAGTGTGTGTGGGGGGTGTGTGTGTGTAATGTGTGTGTGTGTAATGTGTGCGTGTGTGAGTGTGAGTGTGAGTGTGAGTGAGTGTGTGTGTGTGTGTGTGAGTGTATGTGTGTGTCTGTGTAATGTGTGGGTGTGGGGGTGTGTGTGTAATGTTTGTGTGTGGGTGTGTGTGTGTGTGAGTGTGAGTGTGAGTGTGAGTGTGTGTGTAATGTGTGTGTGTGGGGGTATGTGTGTAATGTTTGTGTGTGGGTGTGGGGGTGTGTGTGAGTGTGTGTGTAATGTTTGTGTGTGGGTGTGTGTGTGTGTGAGTGTGAGTGTGAGTGTGTGTCTGTGTAATGTGTGTGTGTGGGGGTGTGTGTGTGTGAGGCAGTAAAAGACAGGATGGTTGGAACTGAGGGAACAGACACCAGGCGGAGCTGTCTGTGGGATGTACTTACTATTGGCTGTAGTCACTGTAATTGTGCAGATTCACCGCTGCTGTGATTCCACAAATTATTAAGGGAATGCCTCCAGCGATGAGGTAAAACCTGCCGAGAGAATGACAACATATTCACGGGTCCAGGCTAAGCTTCAGAGCAAGAGCAGCATTTCTAACCAAGGGGAGAATGTCAGAGCTTAGACAGAGAGTGGGGAGGGCCGTGAGTAAGTGCTGTACCTGAGCATTGTCTGCTGGCTGGGTGAAGACAACTCAGGCTCCTGTTGCCGTTGAGGTTTCTGTGTCACTTCCTTGTAGATGACCCTCATTGCCACTCCGATCCACAGCAGGGTCGACAGAGATGAGTAATGGAGGACTATTCCAATCTGTGAAGAGACAGTGAACGGGGCTTCTGTCAAAACTGGGAGCTGAATGTTGCTGAACAACTGGAAGGAACATTGGCATTCATTTCACATGGAGTGATCCAAGGTATTTAATAAGGTTTGAATATTGTCATCCCCGAATTTGTCCAGCCCTGTTTGAAATCTATCCATTCCAAACAGGTTCCCTCACGTCCTTCTACAGTTTAGCAAACTCTTCCTCTGGCAGCCTTGCCAGACCTGGTTTCAGGCTGGCGAACCTCCCCTGTACTCTCTCATCGGCAGGTCTATCCTCTCTGTGTTGGACGGACTAAAACTGCACTCAATCCTCCAGCTACTCCTGTGTAACTGCAGCAAGACATTGCTGGTTCGGAATGAAATTCCTCTCGGAGTAAAGACTGGGGTAGCGTTTGTGTGATTCTTCCAGAGATGATGCTCCTGCTGTTTGTAGTCATTCCAGAGGCTTTCTTGTGCCCTTCCACCTGAGAGTGGGGAGTGGGTGGGGGCTTTGATTTAGCATCTCACCTGACAGAGAGCTGGGACGACAGTACGGCCCTTCCTCAGTCCAGCAGTGCCTGTGCCTGGGTTGTGTGTTGCAGGAATGGGGCTTGATGCTCGAGACTGCAGACTGAACAGTGACAGTGCTGCCACTGAGACACAGTGGCAAGTTCCATTCTCTCACCTGGGCCTTGGGCAGCAGTGACAAGTCTGCATTCTCCAGCTCACTCGCAATTCCCTTTCTCAAAGCCCCTACAGCTCCCCCCTCAGTTCTTCACTTTGTCTCAATCCAACGCACTGAGCTAGCCAGCCTGACTCTCTCTCCCATTGTTTCAGGCCGTGCTGGAGGCTTGACAGTGAATTCGCTGAGCAACTGGCCTGATATTGTGCCCCACGTAGACTTCCCCACTTTCAGAATCGTTCAGGGACTGAAACAATCAGAAATCCCTCCTGCTGGAATAAACTGTCTCCTGAGATAACAAGGACATGGACAAACTGTTATGAAGGAATCAAAAGCAATGTGCCATTTAACCAGCCCCAGGGAAAAGGAGTCAAAGCTGCAGAGACAGGCTGTTTTAGCAGCTGCTTGATAAACTGTTCTGAGGAAGGGTCACCGGACCCGAAACGTTAACTCTGTTTTCTCCTCCACAGATGCTGCCAGACCTGCTGGAGCTTTTCCAGCCACTTTGTTTTTGCTGTTGTTGATAACTAGTGGCCCTGTGACAAACAGGCGAAAGGAGAAACAATGGCCTGTTCCCGACACACAGCTAACACTAAATGTTACAAAGCAATGGAGAAGCTACTGTTATGGACCAGACCAGATCCCTCAACATATTTTAAGAAGGTAGCCTAGACACTAAGCTTTTCTTATTGAGAGGTAGATGTGAAGTGTTGTGTTCCAGATGTGATGCAATTTGCCAAACTACTTGATGTTAAGAAAAACACAATTTATTTAAACACGATGGTTAAAATACAAACAAAAGAAAGAGGAATTCAGAATAACTTAACTGTTGGGAAAATTTAACCAAGTCACGTAAGTAAAATACCTTATTACTAATTGACTGTTCCAATTATAGCAACATCCCACAAACACAGCCCTTGGCAAATTCGGAAACAGATTCTCACATACAGTTCTCCAATCCAGGAGGAAGAAACATCGACCCCAAACAACTTCTGCTGCTGCTAAAACAAAAACTAGCAAGCCTGGTCTGAGAGAGCAGCCCACACCCAGGGATGCTTCCATTGTCCCAACTTTAAAAAAAACACCCCAAGGCCTCACACTTTGTCGTGTTCTGTAGTCAGTTCAGCTCCTCTGTCTTACAACCTCTCTTCAGCCAGGACAATATAACCTATTAAAGTGACAGCATCGTCACACTCTTCTTCAGAAGGAAGCAAGCTACAGACCTGGTGACTTCAGAACTGCCTTTAGTAATATCACATCGTAAACTTCACAAGGCAGGAAATCCTCCAAGAATTCAACTTCGGGATTCTACAGCAGCAGAACTCTGGAGAATCACACTGCACAAGGATCGAACCCTGGACATTTCCAGAGACTGATACTGTTGGTTCAAATCGTCGCTGAGTTCCACCTCTAATTGGGCAATAGCTACATTGGGTTGTGACGTTTAACTTGCTTACTTGAGGAGTTTTATTTGGGTCACTGCACATGACCAAGTTTAAGCAGCTGTGGCAGTATTGAATTGCCTGTGAGATTTCTGAATGAGTCACCAAATTAAAGGTTGCTTGTAGGAATTTGCACACAGCAGTGTCAATGGGAGCCTGCAGCCTAGTGAGGCCACATCCACTTTCGGCTAACCAGGGCTGAGGCTGGGAGTGAGGTCGAGGAGCTGTGTTTACAGGCGGGGGTGGGGGCGGTGAATCGTTCAGGTTACAGAGAGGCCCGGAAATAAACTGACACCAGAGAGTTACAGCAGCTATGTTTCACCATCTTTTAACGTCCTGAATATATTGTACATAATTGAATATCTCTGTGTGTTGTTCAGAGCAGGTCAATGATAAGCAGTTCTGAGGAAAGGTCACTGGACCCAAAAGGTTAACTCTGTGTTTTCCTTCACAGATGCTGCCAGACCTGCTGAGCTTTTCCAGCAACTTTGTTTTTTGTTGTCAATGATAAGCAGCCTCAGAAAGTGAAAGGCTATGCGATGATCTCCTGCTCAGCATTTGTCTTTAAGTGACAAGATGATAGTTGTAGTAAAATAAACATTTTGAGCAGATTTGTCTGCTAAAGTGACTTTGTTTGGAATGTACGTGGCAGTTTCCACACATTTTTCTGTGTTGGCATTATAAGCTGAAACAAACGTTGGACTGCTGTATAACTGAAATGACAGGACAGTTTTAATCATTTGAAATTACATGTTTTTGGCTGTTTCAGACAGTGTTGCTATTTGAAGCAGCAACAGACAGAGTGAGTGCCACTGAGAGAGTTTAGAGAGAAGGAAATGTTACCTGACGACAGCCTTCTGATTGGTGGAACTGCGGACCCTGAGAAAGCTGGAAGTACCAGGGCAGTGAGGGAGGAAATGTCAAGAGCCTGCAAATTGAAAGCATCCATCTCTCCCTCCACCTTGTCTCTCTCTCTCCCTCTCTCTCTGTGCAGGAGAGAGACAGGAGAACCAAGAAAGCTAAAAACAACAGGTTTTAACCCTGAAAGGCTAAGGGCCCCTTGAGCGAATGACAATGAAACTGAAAAGTGCTGATGAAGACATCAGCAGTTCAACAGGGCAACAAATCAGAAACAACCACGGGAGATAGTATAACGCAGCCCACACAACTGAGGAAGGGTCACTGGACCCGAAACATTAACTGGGATTTCTCAGACCAACTGAGCTTTTTCAGCAATTTCTATTTTCGTGCAAACCTAGACTTTGGAATTTTGTTTACCCTGTCAACATCTCC